GCTTGGGAGTACAATAAAATTGAAAACACCACATTCTACTCCTTTTTCAATATATACCACAGTTTGATCTATGCTTCAACAATTATTTATTGGATTCCTGAACACAGCATGGTGCAATGAATAATTGAAAGGATCTACATAACACAACTCTGTATCACATTCTCAAGGCTGTGTGAAAATTTTAATTTATTCCCTTTGGAAAAAGCTGAAACCTGCTGGCTCAGAGGACAATCATTTTTAAACATTTTTTTAAAGAGGAAGTTCTAGGACCACCTACATTACCTTTTACCAACATCTATCTCCATTGCATTGTCATGAAATTTATTTTATTGTACTGACCTAAGAATTGAGGGCAACTATTCCATTGTTCCAAGAATCCAGTAAACATTGCGAGGTGCTTTATAACCACCAATTAAACTAAAAACATAACCACTATTAAACTAAAAATATGGTCTTTAATCTCTAAATTTTTACATCTACAATAATTAATAAACAATTACATCAAGATTTTTCTAAGAAATAATGAAAAAAATAGGGAATGATATTATAGATTTTTTTAAAATGTCAAATAAATCCTATTTTCTGAATCACATTAACATGCAGCAACTAAACAATTTATGGGAAAGTATAAGCAAAGTCACTAAGATTCAATTAATCAATTCCAATAGGTATTTTTTGCATTCACTGCCATTTCTCTTGAGGCTTAGTTTCTCCATTTATAAAAAGTGAGTTCATTCATTTATCCATTAATAATTATTGAATGCCTATTATATAACAGGCATTGGTTTAGACCTTGGAAACACAATGTTAAACAGAATAGCTGTAAATCCCGCCTTATATTCTAACAAAGATAATATCTATCTCACTAAATTGTTGGGAAGATTCAATGTTATGTAATTAGAAGTGTTTTGTCACTTGTGAAGCACCACATAAACCCAAGTGTCTTAAATATCATGACTGTCCTATTTATCCATCTCCCAAAGCATCCTCCACACTAAGCAGTATTACTAAGCAATCTGAGTAGATGCAGAAGCATTTCAATATTTGCCACAGTTGACTATTGGACATCCTTAGTAGTCACATCCAACTTCAATTCATTCACTTTATTTGTTCCTTTCCATATGATAATTTGAGAAACAATTTAAAGTAACTTAAGAAAATCAGTTGTTTTCAATAAAATGTATTATAGAAAACCCTAAGAGACTAGCCACAAGAGGTAAATTATAACAGATAAACACTTAGGGAGACTATATCCTATAACAGGCAGTATGCTATCCCTGGCCAAAGGCAGAAAATTAGAACTATTATGTATTCATGGTTTATCATTGCAGTCTTTCAAAACAAATTACTTCATTTCCAAATGTACTACTTTAAAATAAATTAACATCTATATAATTTTCAATAACTGTATGGTATTTTATGGCTATACCAATATTAATAATCTGTTTATGATTAAATTGTTTACAGATTAAATCTTTAAAATGTATTGTTTCATCAAGATCAAGTCTTTTGTGTTTTTATACAAGGACAAAACTGTATGTCTACTTATAACAGCTTAATGTAATAACATGAATTTTTGTATTTTCAGATTTACTGGAAAATGCTTTAATATTTTATAATATTCTCCAAAATTTTATAAAATGAATCTAAATTTAAAATGTCTATATTCTCCAAAAGGTTAGGAAAATTCTGTGTAAGTTGTATGTTTTCTTCTTGAAAATATCATAGGAAATACATATTAAATCAATGCTTTTTATAATTGCTGTCTTGAATATAGGAAAAAGATGAGTTTTTCCAGAATATTCTCACTTCACAAAAGTGTGAAATTAAAACAGGATTGGAAATCTGGAAATTTCTATTATCAGAAGACTTCTGTGAATACAATGCTAGTGTGACCTAAAGAATTTAATACAATAAATTTATTAAATAAGAGTCTGGCCTTTCTGGAGCAAACTTCTAGCAGATACAGAAATTTGGGGGAATAATACTGTTGCTTAATGGCAACATCTTATAATCTTAGGAACCATAAAATATATTCGGTAAGTATAAAGGGGGCATTTTAATTAGCCAAAGAGCTATTCTCAAATTATGAATGCTTCATGTATGCAACTTCACATATGAATCAAGTGATTAGAATGTATTCAGAATACATCAAAAAAAGTAAACTGAGACCTTGGATTATGTTAAAATTTTAATACTTGAGAAAAATATAAATTAAAATCAGATACAAATACTGCTGGCACAAGAAAAGAATATATGCAAATGTGAAGTCCCATGGATTCAGTAAGTGAACCTGGATGTAAGAATATATCATAAAAATCTGCTACTGAGCCTTTTAAAAAGAAGTTATAGATACTAACTAAGTCAGACCAAGATGGAAAGATTGGAGAAGGAACAGTAGTTTTTCTTCAAATAATTCCTTATTCATTGAGAACTGTAGGCTCAGCATTGAGAGGAATGTTCAAGGTCATCTAATTTATCAAGCCATTTTGAAGATATTAGCTTTAAACACTTACTTAAAGTCCAAAAAACATAAAAATAAACAGCCTTTCATTTCCCCATTAAGGTTTTATTATTATTTAGTTGTAGATGGACACAATATCTTTACTTAATTTTTATGTGGTGCTGAGACTTGAACCCAGTGCCTCACACTTTAGGCAATCTGCCACTGAGCTACACCCCCAGCCTAAGTTTTATATATTAAAAAATTATAGTAAGAAAAAACAAAAACATTTCATTTTTAAAAATAAAGCACACATTATTTCTTCTTCCAGGTATGTAAGTAATTTAAGTTTAATATTCATTTTATTCAATATTAAACACCAAAAGAACCTATAAAGTCTCACACTAATATTAAGAAGAAATGGAAACTTTATTCTAACTTCAACAATGTGAAACTGTTTTAAAAATTGTTAAAGTGATTACAAACACAGCTCTCTAGGAGAACTTCAAAATATATTTGAAGAAATTAGTTGTCTTTCAGCCATTAGTTTCTTACAAAACATTTATTTTGGAAAGGAAGGCTGTATATAAGTACAAATTCATCTGACATAAATATATCTAGAGAAATTCCCCATTGCTGAAGAATATATTTGTAAATTGAATTCTGATTTTTGAAATAAACAATTCTTTGGTTAATTCTGGAATTTGTGTCAGGTGCTTCTGGAATACTGTTATTTTTTATTTCTCTCAACACAAAAGTTAATGTTTACAAGATTGTAAGACCTACTTGGTTCACAGGCTAGCCATAATACCATTTACTTTTTTCCTCTCAGTTCTAAAAGTTACTGATATAGAACCATTGTTTGGTCTTATATGGAAAAAAATTCTGTGAAGGTAAAATTCTTTCTCTTTGAAAGATGCTTTAAATATTTCTTATTACTAAAAACAATGCTCCTGTCACCTCTTGAACACTGACTTCTCTCCCCAAGGATGTAAATATTATCCCTTTCAATGTCCAGAATAAACTAAATATTTGGTGGCTGTCTCTTTTTTTAAAAAATCATTATTTATTTTATAAATAAAATAATCATTTATTCAAAAAACTAACCTGACTTTTTAACTGTGATCCTCAGGCAAAAGATCACTTATTTTAATAAAAAGATCACTTACTTTAAAAAAAAATATTATGTTATAACCTATAGAATATTAGTAGCCAACTTAAATGCTTATTCCGTGATTGTACATAATTTTGTTCCTATAAAAAATATACTTGAGTTTAAAACAATAGAGAAATACAAATCTCAATACTGAACATAAATGCTGTGATAATACTATAAAGTTATTAAAAGTGCCCTTGAAATTTCTCAAAGTACATTAATAATTTTTAAATAGTCACAATCCCTTAAATAAATTATTTACCACTATCACTTTGGGTGGATGAGTCTATACACTCATACAAAATCTGGGTAGTTTCTTGAAAGTATCTGCCTAGAGAACAAAGTGCAGCATACATGCTGTCTGCTTTAACTTAATTAAAGAAAATTAACAGAATTGGAAGAATGTAATTAAACCTGGTTATGTTATCAAAAGAAATAACATTTGATAGAATTTATATACAGTATCTCTCAAAGATTCTTTTAATATCATCTTAATTTTAAGATTGTTAGAACATATTTTAATGTAAAAATTCATACCTGCTTTCATAGGGAATTGCATTTAAAATACCTGTAACATGATGAAAGCCAATAAATCCATTTCTGCTCTAATACTGCACAACATCCATCTAAAATTATAAGGTATCTAAATTTTTACAGATGATGTATGTAAAATCTTGTTTTGTTTTTACTAAATTTGCTTATATTTCAATAAGCTTATTTAATTGTTTTTAACCAAAATATTAGTGATAAAAAAATCAGTTCCTTCTGATTTGGAAAACTTGAAAATATTTAAATAATAAGAATTCTACCTAACCCAGAGTAATGCCATGCCAATCAGCAGCAGCCATTAGTACTTAGTATTGCTGAATCAGGTAATCCTGATGAGGAAATTAAATTAGGTGCCTTTTATGGGACAAACACAAAACCGTTGCTTTCTTACTGAAATGTAGTAACTCTTAATGTAAGCACCAGTGTTGCCATTAGCAGGTATAAAACCTCCATGTTTAATACCCATTCAAAAATATAACAACTATAGTTATAATAAAAATATAACAACTATAGTTATAATTCTAGTAGTGTTATTTGACTTTTACATTTCCCTTAACAGACAGACATTAACAAGATGCTATGGCTTAAAAATTACCTGTATGTCTGTAATAATAAGAACCCTTTGGTGATTCTACACTTGTTTGCCTCAGAAGGATAGCTTCTAGTGAATTCAGACATGTGACTTCTGATGAGCCTTCTCCTCATCCCAGCCTCCACCTCCATCCCCTACCTTCTTATATTTAATGTCTGCACCTATTTGAACAAACACAAACAGGAAAAACCTTTAAGATTTGAAGCTAACTCATTCATTTTGCTCCTTTCTTCTGACTTCTTAAAGTGACCCACATGTATTTATTTTCTAGGTTTCTTACTTCCAGTCATAACAAAATAATGGTCATCATCCTCCTTTTTCTTTGTAGTAGGTTTTTTTTCTCCACTATCTGTTCCCTTACCAGATGAGGGTGGTTTCCTGGTTGAAGCTTGGGGTTTGCCACTCTTTGGAGGCCCTTTAGCTGAATACTGGCCCTTAGGGGCAGGGTGTGCTGACTTTGGTGCAATTTGTGTTTTGGCAGCAGACTGGGGAAGACTCACAATGGACAGTGGAGTACGACCAGGAGACTTTGAGGAGCTGGATCCTGTCTTCTGGCATGTACTTTTATTCTGAGGCTGCTTTTTGGCACCTGAAACTATCTTCTTATCTTTCAATTCTTGTGTAGCTTTTGCAGGACAAACTGAAGATACAGAAACTGGTTGATTTAAATTCAAGGCAGATTTAAGTTTCTGTGCTGGGATTGCCCCTGTTTGTAGGCTTCCATTAGATGCTTCAGTCTGTGTTCCTAGATCTGTAGCTGTGGTTTTAGAACTGGGTTTTGCCATTTTTCTAGGGGACTGAAAAGAAGGAGAAGGTTTAGGCCTTACCTGTATATTTGCTTTTGGTAACTGTGGACACTTTGATGAACTTACAGGTGCAGGTGAGTGAAATAATGCATCATCCCTAGAAGAAATGTGACTGTGTTTCAAGTACCTTGATTGAGTTTTTCCAGAACACTTATTTGGCAAAAGTTTAGGCTCAAGAACACCTGTAGATTTCTGGCAGGGAAGAGCCTTGACCTTTTTGGGGGATGTGACACATTTTCTCACTGACTCAGATACACAAGGTCCAGTTCTTGATAAAGGTGGTGAAGAAGTGTTTTTATCTACAGGACTTAAAGAAGCAAGGGAAGATGAAACATTGTTTGAAGGAGCAAGTGGTTTCTTTGTTACACCTTTTGAAGACTTGAGCTTGAGATGAGAAGATGCTGAAGAATCTGGAAATTTCGAACGGACTGACATGGAGCCTGTATTACCTTTTAATGAAGAAGCAGGCAGCAATACACCTGTTGGGTGAACCTGCTTTTCCTTGCTCCTTGGAATACCAACTAGCGCGCTAGGCTTTAAGTTTTGTTTCTGAAACATGTTAACTGCTGACAAAGGATTCATTTCAGGAAGTTGAGGTGTTCTGCTGGGTGAATCAGGAATACTTTCATTAGAAATTCCTTTTTGAAATGCTAGAATTTTTTGTTCTAGTGTAGCAAACTGTAATGTTCGACATGGATCATATTTAAGCAAAAATCCTTGAAGAGTATCCCAGCCTCCTCCAACACGGACCATGACATGTTTTCCATGAAGCATCTGCCCCCCAAAGAAAGTGGAAAATAAAGCAGAAAAAAACATGAGGTTCAGAGTTACAATTTATTAACAGCCACAAATTGTTACAGCTATGATCTATGAAACTCAGTATTTGTCAACAGCTTGACTATAAATTGACAGTCTCTTTCTTGTTTTTCTTTCTTTTTTTTTGGTGGTGTTGGGAATTGAACTCAGGGCAACCACTCTACCAACTGAGCTATAGCCCCAGCCCTCTTATATTGTTAATATAATAAATTTAATGAGTCTTAAACTATGCAAATAACAACTGAAGTTCTCCAATTTGTAATGAAAATATTTACATATTATTTACGTGCTAAAAATCTAAACTGTTAATATACAAAACTGCAAGAGCAATACAATGAAGAGTTGAATACTGAAGGAAAGAAAGAGGAGTGAGGGAAGAAGAGGAAGAGAAAGAGAAATGGTGACTTAAAGTGAAAAAAAAAATGCTTCATACTAAAGAAAAAATAATTAGGGGAAAAAAGATAAAAATAAACAAAATCTTGTATTTTATAAATTAATAAATTATTTTCATATATTAGTTTAATTTTAATCTTCAAAATACGTGGATTTAATTTATTATTCTTTCTTCCTTGCAGATAAGAAAATTATGGCTTTAAGAGGTTAAGAAATTTGAACCTGACCTCAACATGTTCTGGGTTGCCAGCCCCTAACCCAAATGACACTTTTGCAGGGATAAGACCAACTCTGATTCTTACAGACCAGGCTGAATTTCAGGCCCCTGTCCACTCAGCTGGTAAATCTGCACAACTGCATGAGACTAGCCACAAGTTTTAACTCTAAGTCCCATCCTCTGTGCACCATTCACTATATCATATCGCCTTTAAAAAGGAAGTTAATTAAAAGATAGAAAGAGGTTTGGGCATGTGACTCGGTAACAGAGCATTTGCCTAGCACACACAAGGCACCAGGTTCAATCCCAGCACTGCAAACAAACAAATAAATAAATAAATAAATAAATAAAATTGCAGGTTTTTTTTTAAAAAAGAAAGTATATGTGGGTGTTTCTGTGAAAGCAGGACAGTGGGTGGAAATGTAATGAAAACACATGAAAGAGAAGAAAATGTGGATGGTGAAGTTATATATTTAAATCTTTTATGTTCATAGATCAAGGAAAAATAGCTCTTGTATCAGAAGTAAAAAGAATGCTAAACAAGTGAAATTTCAATCTGTTAATCAGAAAAGGGGACAAGTAAGCAATTGCAGACGGGACAAAGAAAGGTAATGAACATGTATATCAACAGATTGGTATGCATACTGATGCTATGTCAATAAGAAAAAAGATCCTATGCTTAAGGCCCAAAGTATATATCATTATAAACTGTAGTGTTTCTGTTCTCTTTACTTACTATGGATAATAATCTTATTAGACATTTTGTTTCATCTTATGGTGATGTACAGTGAAATTCTTCCATTAACAGCATCCTTTATTCCAACTTTTTTAAAAGCAAAGGGGGTGCAAAGGAGTTGGTAAAGCAATAAAATCAATTCTAAAACAAGATCTATGTGTTTATAGACTGTAAATAGTAGACTTACCCTTATGAAGAGTATTTTATCCCCTAGTCGGTATCGTCCTTCAGATAAGTACTCAATAGAAAATCGATGAGAACAACTACAAGGAGGATCTTCAGCAATATGTTTAACCTAAGATTTAAAATATGTAATAAAATTTGGTGCTAGCTATACAAAGTATTTTGTTTAAAGTTAAAATGCAATGTTATTTGATAGGAAGATAAATCACAAAGACAAAAGTTTAACTATATAATATCTCTTCTCCTTTACTTATTAACAAATACTGAGATTAGACGTTGCCAATCTAACACAAAAGCCAACAGTGATGGAATCTAGGCCTTCCTCTCTCTCTGCCCAAAATGCAGACAGGCTTGCAGTGAGCTCTTGACAGCTGAAGAAGGTCTGCAAATGTGGAACAGGGAGGTCAAGTCAAAACACATTTGGTGAGACCATTATTAAGCTTGACTTGTGGAATTAAGCATTTGTGTCAAATCAAAAACTGGCCAGATAAAGGCTAAGGAGGAATTTTAACTTCTCCCTTAATATTGCACTAAACTAAGATTTATTCAAAGTTATTTAAATATACAAAGACATATTCCTATCTATTCACCCATGACTAGGTAAGATTCTTAAAAGTTTCAATCCAAGATGCATTTTTCTAAAAGTGTTTATTCTCTTTCAATAGTCTGCTAAGGAGAAAGGAATCAGGGGAAAACTCCACTTCTATATCTCAAGAATTATTTTTATCTCAGTAAATGAAAAACGAAGATGGTAGAACTATAGTAAATATAAAAAGAAATTCAATAACTCCATATTCAAGCTGGGTACACACCTGTAATCCCAGCTACTCAGAGGCTGAGCCTGGAAGATAGAAAGTTTGAGGCCAGCCAGGGGAATTTAGCAAGACCTTGTCTCCCCACAAAAAATAGGAAAGAGGGGCTATGGTTGTGGTTCAGCAGTAGAGCGCTTGCCTAGCATGTTTGAGGCACTGGGCTTGATCCTTGGCACCACATAAAAATGAAAAAAAAAAAGTATAAAAAAAGTTGTATTTGTTTAAAAAATAAAATAAAATAGAAAAGAGCTAGGGTGTATATAGCTCAGTAGTAGAGTGCCCCTGGGTTCAGTTCCCATTACAGGGGAGTGGGGGAGATCTATACTTAAAACATGGAAATTAAAATAAATTAATTAAATGAAGACTTTTTTAAATCTGTCTGAAAAAAATGTCACATATATGCCACTATCAAAAATATTTGACTTTTCTCTAAAATCACATTTTGCAAAAATAAGATCATGAATATTTTTCTCAATTACTTGTCACACAGAGGATATCTAAATAAATTAATTGATTTAAGTGGGTTATGAACTCCCATTTTTACCCCGTATACAGATTGCAGAATCACATCGGTTACACATCCACGTTTTTACATATTGCCTTACTAGTGACTGTTGTATTCTGCTACCTTTCCTATCCTCTACTATTGAACAACCAATAAAAAAAAAAAAAAAAGAAAATGTAAAAATGTTAACAATAAAATTAAAATTATCTATAGTTTTATTATGGGAACTTTTAATATGTATATGTATATAAAATTATATTATTAATAAACTAGAAGGAATTTTTTTAAAAATTTAAAAAATTAATTAATTAATTAATTAATTAATTGAATTTAACTTAGGTATGATGTTAAAAAAAATTCTCTTCAGGTAGGCCCAATTTAGCTGAACACTGAGGAATTTATTTGATTGCCTTAATTATCTACCCAAGATCATATATTTATAGGTGGACGATAAAAATATTCATATAGCACATATGTAAGGAAATGTGTTCATTTGTAGTTTCCATAGCAAGAACGTTGATCTCAGAAGTCACTTTCCTTGTTTAAAATATTGAAATAACCACTGAGTAGTACAATATTGCTAGTGCTAACCATCAGCACTTACCCATAGCTCAATAAGACAGTGACTCTAAAATAAGAACTGTGGATAAGAAGTGTTTGCTTCTGGTTTTATTTATTGCATAATTAATATCAGAATACTAAAGGAAATAGCTAAAAAAAATTATCTCCAATGATACATCACTATTATTTTCATTCTCTTTGTTTCTATATATACATATTTTTCACAAAATAAACATTTTTTTGTTGCTACACAGTTGTCATGATGACCACATAAAATTATGATTCTGTTAAGATAATGAATCCTAATTCACTAAGCCATTTCCCCATTGGAAGCTTTTTATACTATTTACAATTTTTACCAATATAAATAGTGCAATAAGCATTTTTATTTGTTTTTCCTGTTTTCAATCATAATAAAAATGGAAAAGGAATATTTTTGTAGCTCATGATATCTGTCAATTTGTTTTTTAAAAGTATGCATCATTTTCAATTACTAATAGCAATCCTTAAGTGTAGTTTCACCAGAATTTACAGGTACTGTTTTGTTTGTTTTTTCCCCCTGCAACACTGGGAATCAAACTCAGGGCCTCAGCTATGCCAGGCAAGCACTCTACAACTGAGCTATATCCCCAGGCCAAGTTTCATAATTTTGAGAAATTTTGCTATTGGGACAAATGGTTTTTCAGAGCTATATTAATCTGATTTCCTTGATTATCAGCAAGTTTCAACATTGTACTTTCTGTTTGTGTGACCATAGTCTCTGCCCATTTCCCTACTAAAAATTTCATAGTCTTTAAATAATAGTGAAATTAACATACTATATTTCTCACTTAATAAAAATACTTTCCTGATATTTCCTTTATATTTTATTATAGTTTTTAAGGTTACAAAAAATTTTAAATAAATTTTACTTTTCACTGGCTGTATTACTTCTGCATTGATTACTTATGGTCACCAAATGTATCAATAAAATAATGTAGGTAAATATATTTTGATCTGATAAAGGCATGGCTGACATAATCTTAAACTTGTCTTGCAATGCTATCTGAATGTTTTATTGTTGACTTTTGTTATATTAAATAAATCAATCAAAGCAATACTTTCTAAATGTTTATTAGTAATGATTTATTCATTATTTTGGACATTAAGCATTTCTATAAAATGCTATAAACTTTTGAATTACTCTAAAGAACAATCAGTGGAATATGTTTGATACTCGGTTTACCTCTGTCACTTACACAGTAGTCATTGCAGAAGACCCACAGCCTAAGGAATGTAATTCTATTAACTTCTATAGAATGAACAAGTAAAGTTAAGAAAATCTTCCATTGTAACCCATTGTCTAACAAATATGTAAAGATTGTATCAGGGGGAATATTAAAAAAAAATTGATTTTTCCATTACAATTTTTCTTCTTCCTATATTGTCCAAGTATCAGTATATCATCTACTTCACCTTGGAAATCACCTTAGATTTTCTCCTTCCCTCATAATCAGTCACTAATTCCTGTCAATTCTATCTCCTAAACCTGGCTTATAATTGTTCCTTTGGCTCTATGCCCATTTCTGCTCAAATTCAAGTTCTCAACATCTTATATTTGGATTATTACCATAAAACCAATTTAACCTTTATATGACCATGAGAGTAATCCTTATCATTTGTGAGATTATTATACTATTATATTTTTTAAAAAGAATAAATGAATTTTTGCAGCTTATAGTACCCTTCATGATAGGTTTCAGGCTGTTTGCCCCATGATTCCTCAATTACACATTCATTCCTCATCATAAGCAAGAAATGACAAATCTCCTCTAAGATAAAGTACCCATCAGAGAGTGGGGATTATTAACTGGTATGTATTCTGAATAAGAAATATTTTCTTTTAAACACAGTATAACCAGTGGCAGTATAGGAAAGCATGAAACTACGAGACTTCAGGTAGGATAGTCAAAAGAAAATATGGTGATTACTTACAGCTTCATGTAGCTCTTCATGCTGACAGCACGATTTTGGTATGTTGATAGAATCTTCAGGTCCAGAAGTATTAAGCAAGGTCTCTTCTAACTCAATTTCTTTCTCAAGTTTTACTAACACTGGTGGCTCAACCCCATATCTGAAAATAAGCCAGAAAATCTGATCATTCAAGCAAAGGTGGACCAAGAACTTCCTTGTATATCAAGATAGATTGCCTTTTATTTTTAGAACAGAGATCATATGATTCTCTTCTACAAATTGTTTCACTGGGACATCTAGAAGTGCCTTTTTTAAAAAATATTTTTGTTTTTTAATATTTATTTTTTAGTTGTAGTTGGACACAATACCTTTATTTATTTTTATGTGGTGCTACAAGTGCCTTTTTAATGTCTCACAGATTACCAAAAATCCAGATTACAACTTTCACATCATTGCATGTATTTGGTTACTATAGTTCTCTATATTCTTCCTGAGATCCTGAACGTTGGCTTTAAAATCAACCAGAAAGTAAAGAAGGTTTAGGGCATACCAAGCCTTAGCCTTCTTGTCAGATCCTGTGTTCAGAAATTGCTTTGCCTTGGAGTGCCTTAGGACTACATTCCCTTGCCCTATTCTTAATCTAAACATTTTAAGTAATCACTTTCACAATTTAATATTAAATGAAGCAAGATACGTGAGGGAACAAATGTTGACATATGCTCATGCAAATAGAACAAATAAAGACACAAAAAGAAAGATAATATAGGAAATTAGGTTACTTCATTTCAATCAAGAATCACTTTCTTTCATTTTAGAAAACCATGTTCTATCTAAGCTAAAATTAAGTAACTTAAAAGAGCTTATGACACTGGAATTCTGAAATATTGTGGAATACATACCTTGACACAATGCGGCCAATTTCAAGCAGACAAAGATATACTTGTCTTGGATCTTTGTGTAAAACTGTGGGAAAATAAAAACATATTTTAAGGAGGAGAATTAGAAATTTTTTTGACATGGAAGAGAGAAAGAAAAGAACAATGCAGACAGTGGGTTTACTTGTTTGGAAAAGACTTAGAAAAGACATTTTTATTTTCTCCACATATTGTTATTTTCTATAAATTATTTTTAAAAACTGGCTAAAAAGAAAAGGATTAACATTTACCATGGATCTGATTTCTATAGCATTTTAGTTTTTGAAAACTATGGGCTTAGTAATATTACACTATTTTTATTTCGGATCTCTCAATAGGAGATACCATTAGAAGAAATATATCACCTTAATTTTACCCTAAATTATCTTTGACTATATGTCATTATCTCTGAAATGTCACAAAAACAGAAGAGGAGAATATAAACGTAACTCAGAATTAAAGGTAAACAGAGATACTGTTTATAAAAATTTTAAAAAAAAAGTCCTGATCACAGAATTCATGTTAAATGTACCAATATAGTAATTGTAAATCATCTTCTTTCTGTTCTGGTCCTTATTAGAAACTCTAGGAAATTTCTGAATCTGAATCTAATAATGTATAATGTGTGGTAAGTTTTATGTACACTGATCCCTCCAACAGAAATGGCATTTGTTCTTTGATTTCTGAATAGCACCTTATAATATACCCAAAGCACAAAGTATTGTTTTTCAAAGCAATAAAAAAGCCTATATTCAAGTTTAAAATTCATACCAACAAATGAATTTATCCTAATTTTTTAAATCTGTTTTTCCAAACACTTAGGATTACCTAAAATTAGCATTTGTTTCTCTTAAATTGCTTTGAGTTACTAGTAAAATGCAAACATTTAAGAGGCTCATTGCTGAGGCCTTTAGAGAGTAAAAAAAATTAGATCATCAGTTCAATGCCTAAAACTGAATTACTTACTGGTATTGACAGTGAGCTTCAGGATAATCAGAGATATCTCTTACTGATATTGAAAAATACACAACAATCTTATATTCTTTCAGAGCCAGAAAACTAGAAACTAGAGAAGGCAAAGCATTTCCTTTTCCCTTTGATTTCTACAAGCTGGATGTGCCATCAAATACTGCTACAGTATTAGCAGTGATCAACACACCTGGACTAAAAGCAGGGTGTATACTAAGGGGTGAAAGAATAACCCACTTCCTTCTACCCTAGATAGGAGTATCCAGTGGTGCAGGTGATAAGGATGTGCACTGTCAGAAGTAAATTTAAAGACTATAGTAACACCAATTAAAAGTCAATTTGCCTTTTATTATCCCCACAAAATTAGCAATTGTAAACAATGTCAGTGATAAAACTTTTCCCTACCAGGGCAGATTCCCACCATGCCTACCCTTGATAGGCTACTGTTCACATCATAGCATTGTAAATTCTACTTGTGTATTGTAGACATATATACAGATGTATATACATATATAAATGCTTTGAAGTATGTGTGTGTGTGTATAGTCTAAAAATAGCTACCACTTTAATAACTATACTGATGCTTCTGTTGACTTAAAGGAAATGAGAAAATGTCAATAATTCTTCAGTAAAGCATGACTTTTCAAAAATGAATAATCAAAAACATTAATCCATTTGGATAATCAAGTTGGCAGCTGTTGTTTACAAGGTAAATCTAAACACTATAAACACACACCATTTGGCTTTCTATTATTTATGTAATTATCCGATTAAACAGAAATTACTAGTAATTTAAACTTAGTAAAGTAAACTTGATGAAAACATTAATTAGTAAGCATTAGTCCAGAACTTCCCACAACCAATTCATTAAATAAAATATGGTTGGGGCATTCTAAATATATAAAATACTTAACTATAAATGAAAAGCTTAATGTATTTAATTTAATATATGATTCTCCAATTGTTCAACATAAAATTAAAGTACAAATTTTTCTAAGAAACTGAGATATGGCATTGTAAGTCACTATTTGGAAAGACGAAATTTTGAATCCTTATTTGGAAAGAAAAATTAGGAGGGAAGGACACAAAATACCCTAACAAACATTAAAAACTCTAACAATGATAGCAATACCACTTACCTAAACCTTCAGATTCAAAGAGGTAAGTTTCATCAACCCCAATGTCTCTACACCAGTGAAGAAAATTGGCGGTATTGTCTCTGGCAAAGAATGAACCTGATGCAGCATCTTTCTTACAAGGCACTTTTCTCATTGGAAAATTCTGGAAAAGACATAAGGTTCTTTTTATTAGACATCCATTTCAATATTATAAAATAAATGATTATTGCTTTGAATTTAACTAAAAAGTACACAACTTTAGGGAGAAAATATCTTTTTTTAAAATACTTAATTTTAGTTGTAGTTGACACAATACCTTTATTTTATTGATTGATTGATTGATTGATGCAGTGCTGAGGATCGGACCCAGGTCCTCACATGTGCTAGATAAGCACTCTACCACTGAGCCACAACTCTAGCCCGGGAGAAAATATCTTTTTTTTTTTTTTTTTAATATTTATTTTTTAGTTCTCAGCGGACACAACATCTTTGTTTGTATGTGGTGCTGAGGATCGAACCTGGGCCGCACGCATGCCAGGCGAGTGCGCTACCGCTTGAGCCACATCCCCAGCCCGAAAATATCTTTAAAAATGATTTTATTTCACTTTTAGTATACTCAGAAAATGATTCCTTAGAAAATAAACTGGTCAAAATTATCAGTAGGATCAGACTTCTTTAATCTCTCTTTTTTTTCCTTTTAGAAGAAGGAAAGTCTGACAATTCCAAAGTACATTTCTCCATACAAAATTCAATACAAATACAAAATCATGGCTATGCTCAAAGTTAACAAACATACTCATTTTTTTTTTAAACTTCCTTTCATGGAGATTCATGAAGTCAGTCCTGAGTTTCTCAAGGAGACTAACAAAAAAGGAAGTAGTTGTACATTCTTAATTCAGGTTCATTGAAAAGTTGACAGTCTAAATTTCACAGATCCGTAAGTTTTTATTATCAGGCCCAAGAATATTTATTTAGATAATCCTGCTGAAGCTGAGGTGGAGGAAGTTACTTTGCTTTAGTTTAAATTTCTACTTGAGAAAACAATTCATGAAAATGATTTTTTAATGTAATAGGTACAATATGCACCTCCGCCCCTTAGCTCTCTCTTCCTAGAGATAGTCACTATGACCAGTTCCTTATATACCCTTTATATAAGGTATATCCTGTTCCTATTATCTTTCAGAGGTAAGGCTTTTTTTTTTTTATAGACTATGTAATCATTTAAAAAATAAACAATACAGTAAATACAAAGGTAAATAGTATCCACTGAAATTCTCCCCATTTTCATAGGACATCTCTAGGCATAGCTATTTATGCAGCTGTACCTACCAAATGTCACATAAAGATGCTACTCTGCAATTTGGTGTGTATGTATGTGCACATGAACTCTTATTGAAAGGTTGCAGGAATCTTTAAGGGTTGAAAATAATAGATTTAAATAATCATTTCTAATAGATGTACAATATTCTAATGTGTTTAAGAACCTTAATTAATTTTAACATGTTTTTATTGAAGAGCATTTAGGTTGTTCCTAATTTTTTTTACTAACATTTTTATAAATTGGTAATTTTCTTAGACTAAATTCCAAGAAGTAAAGAATTATACTGATGGATGAGGTTTAATCTCAATGTTTTACATATATGTATATATGTCTTGTTCACTGTCCCCCAAAACAGTGATACCACTTTATATTTCCACTTACAGTATATGAGTGTCCAGATCTAAAACTTTTGAAAACACCTACATCTGATGAAAATAAAGAAAATCTGATCTATTTCAAATCATGACCTAAGGGTCAATGAAGGAAAATTTTATTAAAATTATTCAATCTTTGGGGCTGGGGTTGTGGCTCAGCAGTTGAGCGCTTGCCTAGCACGTGTGAGGCCTTGGGTTCAATTCTCAGTACCACCTAAAAATAAATAAATAAAATAAAGATATTGTGCCAAATTACAATTAAAAAATAAATAAATATTTTAAAAATTATTCAAGCTTTAAAGAATTTACTACCAAGACACTATATAGAGACTATAAAGAAGATAATAATAGTGTTGATGATGATGGTAGCTACCTGTGTGCCAGTAACTATCACAAGCTCTTTTCTCACTTAACCCTTATAAACATCTGGCCCTGTAAGGAAGTACCCTATAAGGAAGGTATGATCATTGGTCTTAAGAAGAGTTAGCCACAATGCATCAAGCACTATGCTAGATATTATCTGTATATTATCTCATTTAATTTCAATGAATGCTCACTGCTATGGTTTAGATATTAGGTGTCTTCCAAAAGCTCATATGTGATACATTCCAAGAAGGTTTAGAGGTGAAATGATTGGGTTATGAAAGCCTTGACCCTATCAGCGCATTAATCCCCTTATAAGATTAACTGAGTGGTGACTATACGCAGACAAGGTACGGCTAGAGGAGGTGAGTCCTTAGGAGTATGTCTTTGGGGTTTATATTTTGTGCTTCCCAGAACTGTGTCCCCAGCTGCTTTCCTCTGCCATACTCTTCCACCATGATGTTCTGCCTTATCTCAGACTCTGAGGAATGGAGCCAGCTGTCCATATACTGAGCCCTCTGAAATCATGAGCCCCCAAATAAACTTTTCTTCCTCTAAAATTGTTCTCATTAAATTATCAGGTCTTTTGGTTACAGCAGAAGAAGAAGGGAAAAAAAAAAAAACTGATTAAAACACAAATAAATCCCACAGGGGAAATGTTAATATCTCCACTTCACAGATAATATCTTTTCAGATGTTCAAAAAGATTAAGTAAATTCTTCAAAATATCATAGCCAGTTGAGGGATAGAAGTTTACAAACTTGTGAAGATGAAAAGAAACATACATAAACAAATTAAATTATACCAACCAAGGTATAATATCACCTCTATCAAACATTTACTTACCCCTGATTCTTCAGAGTTGCATGCTTTCACCATATTTTGAAGAACATCAATCAATTGGCATAAGAGCACTCCATTATCAAGTTCTTCCAATAGTCTTTCTGCCTTAACTTCAATACCTAAAAACAAATTTCAAAGGTAAGGTTCTTCTAAAAAGAGTAAATTCAAATAAAATGATTAAAATTTAATTAAATAAAATTAGATTACAGCTAAAAAACAAAACAAATTCTGATCATACTCAAAATATTCCCTCTTAGAAGAATAGTTAAAACAAATAAGGTCAAGTTAAATGAAAGCCAACCGAAACAAAAATATCTGTGATGTATTACTGCAGAAAAAGATAAAGACAATTGACATGTTTCATTTAAAATAAATTCATTGAATATTAATAGTTTTCATAAGAGGATTTTTTATAAATAAGATTGATTTTGTTGTAGTTTAAAAATTAAATCTAGTACCATAATAGTCAGACAATGCCAACTTTTCACCTTTAAAAGCATTATTATTACATAAAAAACTTTTTAAATTATCCAAATCATCAAACTGTTATCAGATAACCAGATCCAGTGTTTCATGTATGTTTAATTATCTTAGGAGGACCATAGATGATCTTGAAATGCCACATAAAATTCTGTACTTAAAGCGAATTTTTCTGGTAAGAAAGTTCAAAGAATTCATCATACTTTCTAATAGAGTAAAATATATAAATGACAGATATTCTCTAACCTGACATTTCCTTTTGTTTCATATGTCTGTAATCCTCAATGTCTCAGAAATAGTAATTATTTTAACTACAATATAAATTTCACTCAGAATCTAATGATTTATACAAGACTGTGGAAAGATCAGTTAAAAAAATAGACCTATGTACTTTTAGAAAAAGATTTTAATATAAACAATGAAACGTTGATTATTCAAAAGTACTGACCTCTTCACTTAAATCTCAAATTTCCTACTATTCCAGACCCAAGGTTCAGGGTGAATCACAGTATTTCCCCTGAACTTGAGGGAATTTAAGCTTGGTAAGAACAAGCAACTTAAACATTTAATTTTACTAGAGAATCCCCAGCATCTAGAACCAATATTCCTTGACAAAAAGTAAGGTTCTAAATAAATATTTATTGAATAAGAGACTATAATTTGGGGTCTCTTGGCAAGCCTTACCTAATAGACCAGATAACCAGATAGACAGATCTTCTTGCATAGGCAACAGAGTAGCTTCATGCCTCACAGCTATCCATTCATCATACTGACAAACATCAGCCAACCCTGGTCCATGTCTGGGGGTCAGAGGACTCCGTGGACTTAGAGGCAGATCTTCTCCAAACCACACCTAGAGAAAACACCAATTGGCTGAATTAATGCAAACTTGCTAATGGTTACCATGATTCACATCTACATTTAAATGGCAAAGTATAAGCCAGACACAATATACTCATGCACAAAACTGTATCAACTCATTGAAAATACATAAATTAGAAGCAACTATTAGTTTGGATACTTGAAACATTTTCAATATTTAATACAATAGTGACAAGGTAAACCCCTTATAAATGAATGGATTTTACTATTGAGCCAAGAGGATAAAATTCAACAAATATTTTTCCTCCACTTGTTAGCTGAATAAGTTTAACAATGACTTGACCAGAGATTGAGAATTTCAGCTGTGAAATGGGTTAATGATATCTGCTTTTCAAGAGATATCTTTGCAGCAACTGGCATTGGGCTTTGAAGATAGAGATTAAATAAACATTTGTTGAATGAATGGACAATTAATAAAAATGTAAATGGCATTTTAAACTTTAAATTATAAAAACAATGCTTTTTTAAAAAATTAATTTCTAAATATTTGATTTAAAATAAGGGAGTGGGAACTACAGATGTTGCTCAGGGGAAGTGTCTTGCCTAGCATATGCAAGACCTGGGGTTTGATCCTCAGCTTTAAAAACTAAAATAAAGTGAGAGGGAGAAAAACTAGGTCCATGAGGCAAATCTTCTCTGTCATTTGATTTTGTATGGCCCACAAGTTAAAAGAGAATTTTACATTTTAAAATTGTTGTTATGTAAGTACCTATTTCACAGCCTTGATTTTGCCTACTGACCCACTAAACCAAAAATATTTACCCATAAACAATCCTTGGTTTAGAATAAAAATTGATGTAACCATATCATCAAATTAATACTTGCAACTAGATATGCTTTAATATAAGATTATTTATAGAAAAGACTATTGATTCTTTAAGTTGTAAAAGAAGTAATGATGTCATCATGAAGTCGCTTTTTACAAAAGTGACAATAGCCTTTGTCCTTCTCCTTCCTGAATAATTCAGGAAGGGGTATTAGGACCCAAGTGAAGTGACCAGAAGGTTCTTGGAGGGCAGTTGCTTAGAACAACTGAGAGGTCATCCACATATGGGGATAAGATTATGCAAGGTGTCAGATCCTGAGCAGGATAATAAGGGAACCCAATGGAAGCCAGATTTCTCATTGCCAGAGAAGAAAGGACAAATATGGAATTTGGGGGGGGGGGGAATGAACCCTATGACCTTTTATCAGAAAGCAAAGAAGCACTCAAAAGATATGGGGACATGAAAAGAGAACAAAAACTAGCCTGAAGGGACTTCTATTGGCTAAACTGGGGGTAAATTTAATAAATGACAGAAATGGATTATACCACATTGACTAAAATAGACAACTATGAGTCCATACAAATGTAAATAAATAAATAGGTTGAAACTTTTACAAGTATTGGGATGTCTATAACATTATTTACCCTCAAAATACTTACTTAGGGAGAAAAAGAGTAATTTTATAGTAGAGAAACCTGACAGTATCATAACCAAGTGACAAGGGTGAACACTGTCAATAATCATATGCCACCGATAGAATGCAATGAGAAAAACCATCATCTTTTAAGTAATATTTCTGCCAAGATGCACAACCTGAACCCAATCATGAGAAAACATCACACAAACCCAAATTAAGGGACATTCTATAAAACAGTTGTTCTAAAATATTCAAAAGTGTCAAAGTCATTACAGACTGGCAAAGAAAGATACCATTCTAGACTGATTCAGACTCAAAAAGAAACCAGACAGCAAAAGGTAACACAAGATTCTGAACTGGATATTACCAGGACAACTGGCAATATTTGAATATGACCTGAATATAAAATGGTAGTATGTGATATCAGAATATAATTCTTATTATTTCACTGTGATTTTATAGGAAGATGTCCTGGATTTTTTTTTTAAACACACACTAAAATATTTGGAAGTGGTAAGACATCCGACTGTCCACTTGATATTTTTTAAATATAGAACATTTTCCCCTTAAAATACATTAAAATTCATTTGAGGTAGGTCTTACTATACAAAATCAAAAGCCAAAGCAATACTATATGTAATCTAGATAAGTTTGGAGGAAAAAAATTAAAACCTGCTTTCAGTCTCCTCTGATGAGAAATAAACATGTTTGAGAGAGAGAGAGAGAGAGAGATCCCAAAGGTAAAGAAAGAAAATTAGTAAATATAAGAGGTATGCAGGAGTAATGAAATCCAATAAAAAATACCAAAGACAAAATGAAACTTAATTTGAGGAACATTATTTTGGGAATTATAGGTAGAAACTGGGGAATGAATTCCTAAACATATGAGGGTTCTATAAAAATTTAGGAAAAAGATGTCATTTACTTTCCTGAATTCTCTCCAAGCAAAAAGGAGTACAGCAAAGATTTACTGGTTCTTCCCTTCATAAATGTGTTATTTCTATTTGTTAACGGAGAACTCAGTAAAGTAACTTAGCATGCAATATTCAATCAAAAATATTTGAATAATTGAGAAAATAATATTAGCAAATGATTCTAAAATCAAAATCAAAGTGTATCTTACAACCAATCATATTTTATTATGCTATTTGTACTTTTAAATCATTGGCTGAGCTGAAAACAGGCAGAGTAGGTACAAGTGTTTATCAAGGAAAGATGAGCATGAGTTAGGAGGGAGGTTTAGAAAAAATTATGTGTAAACATGGAAATGTTAACATTAACAAAAGTCATTCTCACTTCCTGATACTTAAGAGAAGAGACCAAGGCTGAATTTTTCTCTTATTGTAAGCAGAAGATGTTATAATACCCTGGCTACTCAGCAGCATATTAGTGTTAAAAATTAGATGTTAAGGGCTGGGGATGTGGCTCAAGTGGTAGCGCGCTCGCCTGGCATGCGTGCGGCCCAGGTTCGATCCTCAGCACCACATACAAACAAAGATGTTGTATCCGCCGATAACTAAAAAATAAATATTAAAATTCTCCCTCTCTCTCTCTCTCTCCCCCTCTCTCACTCTCTCCTTAAAAAAAAAAAAAAAATTAGATGTTAATACCAAAACTGCACATCTAAATGCTGTTTATATGTATTGAAAGCTGCCACGTTGCAGAGATTCTTAATCCATAAGCAATTTACAGATAAACTTACATACATGAGCTTTCTTACAATTTGAATTAAATTGTATGCTTACACATGGATCATTTATCTGAGAAAGAATTCAAAGGTTTTGTCAGATTCTCAAAGAGGAGTATGACCCCAAAGCAGTTAAGAACTATTGTTCATTGACTTTTAGACTGTATGTTTCCTTTATTAATCAGAATGAAGGACATAAAAGTAGGGTATGGAAGATTTTAATTTATTAAATTAATAAGAAATCAATTGATTACAAAGATATACTGGATGTCTCCTCTCTTCAAAGTACTTATAAATAAGTAACTGTCCAATACATTTAGCAGAGAAACAGCTAAAAATTTCTTACTTTCAGCAGGGAGAGAAGCAAAAATCTCCATGAGAGATATCAAGGTTACTCTGAAAAAAGAATCAATAAAGATGGACCTGTGGAATCTAGATCAGAGATTTCACAGGACCAGAAAACAAAACCATGGGGGGAAAAAATCACCAATAAACTACTAATGATCCTCAGCATAGGAAAGAGAAAAACATGGATAATATGGCAATGAGAAAAGCACTCTATAAGGAATCAAAAAACTATAATCAACAAGAAATTAGTGTTTAAAGACCGAAATGAAGAGAGGACAGATTGAAGGAATCAAATCAAAATGGTTTTGAGAAATAAAGGAGTTCTGGGCACAATGGATGTGAATGTGAAAGAACACAAAACAGAAGAATAAGACCTCTGGGAAGACTGTCATCAATTCCCAAAAGAAAAACAGCATGATGGACTCCATCAGTAGAGCAGAATGGTATGGGACATAACATAGGAAGGCATACAAGCAGAATCGCACTCAGGGTTGTTCCTAACCATTTGATAAACATATTCTCTTCTCTAAGCTTTATCAATTGTTATCTTGGTAAGCCTTCTTTCTTAGTCAAAAGAAAGAGAGGCTTTCATGTCACAGGTACTACCTCCAGTTTTATAACTGGATAATTTGATGTGCCAAGTTTGGTACAACCAAACTTCTGGAGCACCTGCTAGGTGCTATGCATTCTTGAAGGCCCTCTGCACACGTTATCTCATTGATTCCTCACAGCTGCCCTGCAAAATAAGAACTATTATCCTCACTTTACAGGTTAGGCAGAAAATACTCAACAGTTAAATAACTTGCCAGAATATCACAATAGAAGTAGCAGAATGAGGATCAGAACTGGAATCCGACTAACTCTAAAGTTCTTACTTTCCAGCACATTGTATTATCAGCTGCTTGTATATTTCTAGATAACCATATTAAATATTACTTTTATCTTTAAGTTAATATTCAATCATGTTCTAGTTATAATAAAGAAAACAAAAGGATATAAGATTAATATAACAAATACCAACCCTGAAAATCAAAGATAAGATTTTCCTGGCTTGTCTCATTACCCTCAGACATAAAATGAACAAAAAAATCTACTCCGTAAAATTTCAAATTTTAACCCCTAGTCATGTTCAGACATTTACAGAGCAAATGTACAATTGTCTAAGAAAAAAAAAAAAAAAAA